GATGTTCTTTCTCCACTTTTTAAAGTAGAATTTTATATGGAGATCTAGAACCACAGACTAGTGGTAAAAATGCAAGGCAGCTTATATTCTACCTCTTTTGCTTCTGGGGTCTCTTGGGGAGGAACTGATCGGTGGTATTTCCTCTGAAAGCTGCTTCACATAAAGCAGGGCATCACCTTCTCTAGGAGGACCTAGAATGTTGCAACACAGGTGGGACTATATCCTGCCCTTTATACTGTCCTGGTGAGATGGTCTCCAGACCTTTCTTATCATGGCGTCAGCTACTGTAAGACTAATAAATAAGGTCTGGACAGTCTAACCTCATGATGACTGACCTAGATTTAGGGAGTAAACCACCCAGGCTTACCTGTGGAAGCTATATATTTATGACCAGAACACCCCAAAGAAAACCATCTCTCCAATCCTTTTTAAACATAGGCCTAAAAACCAATTACACAATTGCTTTTACAATACAGTGTTGATCCTTAATTCAAATCTTTGTAGTATAATTATATTGCATCAGGTCACTTATATGTCTAACCTGTAGACTCTGTCCATTTTAGGTGACAGTCTGGTGACTAAAGAAAGCCATTACAAATTGATTTTTGGAAGGGAGTACTAAGAGAAAAGAGAAAATACTTTGTGTTCTTTATTAAATACTTCAGAATAGGAGAAATAACTAGAATTTTGTCAATTTATGAGAAAATGCACTTTACATTTCTTGTTTATTTATTTATTTTTCCCAGCATATTGTGGGAGTACAAATGTTAAGGTTATGTATACTGCCCTTGCCCCCCCTCGAGTCAGAGCTTCAAGCATGTCCATCCCCCAGTTGGTGCGCATCACACTCATTATGTATGTATATACTCATCCCACTTTACATTTCTTTTAATCAAGCCTTTGAAATTAGCGATTATTTTACACTTACAGCATATATCAATTCGGACTAGCCACTTGCAAATGCTCAATAGCTACCTGTGGCTACTGGCTACAGCATTTGATAGCACAGATTCTAAACAGATGCCAAAAGGTCATTTGATAAAATTCAACATATATTCCTGATTCAAAAGAAAACAAATTTTAAGAAAATATACCAAAGGTATATTTCTATGAAACTAAAACAAATAAACCTATACATTTTAGATATTAACATACAAAAATTAATAGCTTTACTATTTGCCAAACATTATAAATTATAATGAAAAATATCTATTTATTTTGGCAATAAAAAATATCAGCTATCCATTATAACTATAAATGCACAATACTAAGATAAAAGTTAACATTCACAGAGTTTATGAAAGGAATTTTAAAAAAGTGAAAAGACATATTCTATTATTGGCTAGAAAGGCTGGTTGATAGAATATGATAAGCTATCTACAAATTTAGTGAGTTCAAATAAAAAATTTCAGCAAAATTTTTTGAGCTTCAATAATTAATTGTTAAATTAAACCAGAAAAAAAAACCAAGAATAATCTAGAAAATCTTTAATGAAGGAGAGTTATAAAGAGAACCCTCCACCACCAAATATGAAAACCTATTATTTTAATATAAAGTTACAATAGATTACAGTGAATAAAAGTAAAATAAGTTGAAAAGACTTGAAGCATTAAATGATAAGATCAAATATAAAGAAAAATTAATGATGTAATAGATATGACATTTCAAATCAGAGATAGGTGAATTTGGAGTTAAGAAAACTGCATGACTATTCAAAAAATCAAACAAAATCACATCTCTATCACAATACAAATGGTAAAACAATTTCCATTTGATTTTATATTTGAAAGTAAACCCTGAATCTTTGATCATACCAGAAGTTTTTATATATAATAGTTATATATAATAGTTATATAATCCAGGAATCAGAACCTCCATAAACTTGAGGCCAATGACAGAAAATATAAAGAAAAGATTGACAGATTTGACCACATAAAATGTAGGTGTGTTGACATAAGAAATCATGCAACAAACACTGTCAGAAAAATTTAATATCAAATAAACTTAAAGAATAACTTCAATACATTATCAAAGAACTTATAACCCCTATGTTTGAAAAAAAATAAGTAAATAATAAAACACAAATATGATCATATGAAATCAGGAACATTTAATAAAAATCAAGGGAGGGGGAAGATTTATGGAGTAAATTGGAAAGGTAAGAGTATACTAAAAAATTTATCCTCACTCATAATCGCAAATGACAATGCTATTTTAATCTGTTAAATTGGCAATAGCATCATACATATTTTGGTGTGAGGACTTGATCTCACTAAAATACTTGAGTAATATAGCACTTAATATATACTTTATGAAGTTTGTCAATATGTCTAAAAATATTGTATACTTTTTAACAAAACAATCTAACTTTCAGAAACTTATCCTCAGAAAATAATTAAAATGTGTCCACATCTAGCTTATTAGACATTTACTGTAACTTTGTATATAATCCTGAAATTGAAAATGAACTGAATTTTTATTAAGAGATGGTGGCCAAATAATTATAGTAGGGTTTATAATTCAAATTAATTTCATCAAGAATTGTGTTGTTGTTTTTTTTTTTAAAAAAAACAAGGTCAGAAAGATCTTGGTAGATATAAGACAAACAATATAAGAAAAAAATGACTGATAGACTATATAAAAACATAAATGTATTATACATGAAAATAGTAAAATAAATACTATTTATTCAATAAATACAACTATCTATGGCCCCATTAATGCTAATATTAATGGTAATATAAAAAACACATAGAAAAAATGCTAAAAACTCAAACATATTAACATAAAAAAGCTACTGATGGGTAGTGAGATTACATGTAACTTTTATGTTTTGTTGCTGCTTATGTTTTTCCTGTAATAAATGTGAACTGTTTCATAAGAATAAAATACTACAATTCTTTTTAGATTAAATAGTTTTATAACATTTTGAAGGGCTATCCTATTTTTCTAAGTTGATCTTTTTTAATTTTTGAGATAGAGATTGCTATACCAACAATTTTAATATTTTAGGATGATTCTCCTTCATTTCTAAATTTTAAGCTAGGCTACATCATAGAAACATGATTAAGCATAATATTAATTTTTAAGAAAGTAAGAAGTTACTCTTTTTTAGGGCTATGTCCTACCCAGTTAGTTTTATGGGCATAATAGAAAAGTCAGCTTTTGCTGAGCATTAAGTAGTTACCTGAATTGGTATAATTACAGGATAATAGAGAGACAGTCCAACTGGTTTAAAAGTGACATTGAGAAATATAAAAGGTCCAAAAGAGCAGACAAAAAGGTGTTTCTAGATCAGTGGTTAATTGAAAGCTCTTGGCTTTGGCTGCATAATGAATAAAATGACCAAAACAGTATGTTGTGGACTATTTTGATGCCCCATCTCATAACATTTCCACCACCTTTGAATTTACCCACAGATGCAATAAACAGTGCCAAAAAATCTGACCAATATCCATGTTGGATACCTACTTTTTCCCTACTTTTTTCCGTGGGTTTTCTCCAGCTTCACGACATTGGTCTTGGCAATGATTTTATGGCTATAACAGCAAAAGTACAGACGACAAAAACAAAAGTAAGCAAGTGGAACTACATCAAACTAAAAAGCTTCTGCACAGCAAAGAAAACAAAATTAACATACTGAAGAGGCAACTTATGGAATGGAAAAAAAGATTTGCAAGCCATATGTCTGATAAGGGGTTAATCTCTAAAATATATAGAGAATTCCTACAAATCGGTAACAAAGATACAACTAATCTGATGAAAAAAAATGAGCCAAGTATTTGAAAAGACATTTCTCCAAAGAAGATATACAAATGGAAACAGGTTATGAAAAAATACTCATCAGAACTAATCATTAAGGAAATGCAAATCAAAACCACAAGAAATATTATCTCACATCTGTGAGGATGGTTACTATCAAATAAAAACAATAGACAACAAGTGTTGGTGAGGAGGATGTGGAGAAATTTGAACCCTTGTACATTGTTAGTGGGCATGCAAAATGGTGTAGCTGCTATAAAAAGTAGTTTGATGATTCTTAAGAAAATCAAAAACAATTATCATAAGATTTAGCAATGCTAATGCCAGGTATTTATCCAAAAGAATTGAAATCAGGGTCTCAAAGAAATGTTAGCACTCTTATGTTCATTGAAGCACTATTCACAATAGCCAAAATGTGGAAGCGATCTACACATCCATTGACAGATGAGTGGATAAAGAAAATGTGATATATACATACAGTAGCATACTATTAGACATTAAAAATAAGGAAATTCTGCAATATGCAACAACATGGATGAACCTTGAAGACATCATGTTAAGTAAAATAAGCCACATACGGAAAGAAAAATGCTGCATGATTCTACTATGTAAGATATCTAAAGTAATCAAATTTATAAAATTAAAAACTGATGGTTACCAGGGGCTGGAGAAAAGGAAAAGGGGGAATTATTAATCAACAAGCATAAAATTTTAGTTAAATAAGATGATGAATAAGCTCTAGAGATCTGCTGTAGAACTTTGTACCTATAGTCAACAATAATATACACTTAAAGCTTAAGAGGATAAATAACATGGTAAGTTTTTACCATATTATTATTTATGGTATTATTTTTACCATAATAAAATTCAAAAAAAGAATCAGTGCAAAGGCATCTTACGGTCCAGGCCAATTAAAATCTTGTAAACCCTCTATCACTGAGAATTTCCTCATGTCACGGTGATTGGCCAACAGCTATGCACCAATACAAGTTTGGATCTTTGGGAAATATCAATTATAGAAGTAAAAGCATCTTTATGTTATAAGATAAAACTCCCTTTAATTGATTATTGGTGTTATGCCATTGGAGGCATTAGAAGGTATTGTTATTGACAATAGTGAGGGGAAGGAGCTAGGAGAGATAGTGGACTGATGAACTTGATTGAGCACACAGGAGGACTTTCAAAGGGTTCCTCAAAAAACATAAAGTTCTTTGTTTCTTTCTTTGAAACCAAATATCTCAGCATCTTATTGTCTTGATTTTCTACCTTATGAAACAGGCTTTTAAACAGGGGCTGTATTATTATCACAGTCATTCTTGATGAAACACCTGTATGGAGACCAAGTGATAGCATGAGATGTGTATGGGCCCCAGTCCAAGTGACCCAGATAAAATGATTAGCAGTGGGGCCATTGCCAATAACATTTTGAAACATTCTCTTGATGATTCTGTGTAGCCAGAGTTGAGAGCCATCGCTCCTAGGAGAAGCCCTACTTCATGAGGAAGCTGGGATTCACAGTTCATAATCATTACACAGTGCTTTCTCTTGACCACTTATTATTCTCACTTCCTAATGTCCTCACTGTTAGACAAATATCCTCTTTGAAGATCTCTGTGTGCTCTCTGAATGAGATGCCAGTGGCCAATTGTGCTGTAACACTCATAAATATCTTTGAAAATCATGGAAAATTATAGACATCCAAGGAAATATTTTTTTACCAGGAACCATCTTATTTCTAGGGTCATCAAATTCAACTTTCCAAGGTGGATATTTCAGCAGAACACCTTCTTCAGACTACCCCAATAATGTTATTAATAAAGAATTCAGTTAAAACAATGCTTTTTCAATTCCTCTGTTGTCAGGTATTCATATCAGGTGAATCAATTCTGGCAATTACTGGAAAGGCAGATGGCCTCCAGGCCATGACCTTTAAATCCTTAAAAGGTAAATTAAAAATATGCTATATTCACCTCTCTTATTACTTAGGAAACTTTGAACTAACTATTATCAAATACTTCAGATTTGTGTTGAATTTAGCCCTACATTGTACTTTCACTCATGGGCTTTAAAACCATATTCAAAAACCTATTCATTATTTTCATTTTTTTTCAAAGAAAATTCTTACTCATTTAAGAGCAAGACAGAAGGACATAGTGTTGCTTTGAGTCTTAGAGAGTTGGATGCATATTTCCAGTTTTGTATTTAAAACTGGGCTCTTAGCCAAGTTCTTCTAGAAGAGAAGGCACAGAGCTGGGAGTAGGACTGATCTCCATTTACATGATATCAAAACAAGAGGCTAGTTCAGCCAGTTTCATTAAACAACTGGTCGATTTTGTGGAACAATGGTCCAATTGGAGGCTCATCCTTGGCAGAGCCAAGCTGCCTCCAAAGCCAACACAAACAACCAGCGAAAGAGAAGCTGCACATCCCACTCAGAGAGCTGGTCATGGAGTTATAACTCATCTGAAGTCTATGAACAATTTTGATGTTGACTGTTACCATCTTGCAACAAAACCAATTGAGATCTGAGCCTCAGATTGGTGAAGACGTTCCAGACACAAAGGCCCACAAAAAAGGGCTGCTCAAATGAAGCTCTGCACTGAAGCACTCTTTTCTTTCCCACAGCCCACCCAGGGTGATATTATTGATTTCTGTTTTCTTCAGATCCTTTTCTCAAACAGGGCATGGGAACTGGAGGCCCTTCCCTGTCACTATTTCTAGATATGCCTTTTCGTTGTTTGGAGAAGAGAGGGGGAGAAATGGAGACACTTAACGGATCCTGGATGGGACAGAGCTAGGGCTAGCATGGCTTTGATGCGACCTTCTGTGCTTCTACGGAGGGGAGCCACACTCCACAGTCTCTGTGGATAACCATGCAGATCCTTCACCAAACAATAGTGAACACTTTAACGGCATGCTCCTAAAAGAAAGAACAAATGCTAGAGATTAGTGCTTAGACCATCATAAACACTTTTACACATTCCCTGTATTTTAGGGTCTCAGATTAAGAATTAATTAATTATCGGTCCTGACATGACAATCGATTTTTTAAAATGTGCTTTTATAATGAAAGATTTTAGCCGTATGAAAAATTACAGAGAATAGTATGGTGAACATCCATATATCCACTGATTAGATTTAATACATTAACATTTTGCCCCTTGCCTTTGATTTTTAAATTGTAAAATGTATAGAAAAGTAAAGGAGAAAGATTTAACAAATAACTTTGCAGATAAAATATGTAAAGTGCTTGGAACAATGTGACCATAGAAAACATTTAGTTATTAATACTACTTTTTTGCTATCACCCACCTCATGTTTTATTAGGTTTTAACATTTTGCCATGATGACCTCAGATTTTTCAAGAAATCAAAATACCAAGACACCCGAAGCTCCTGATTTTCCCTCCTTATTCTTTCCCCTGCATCCCTTCTCACTCCCCTCCCCCTCCCTCATTGCTTCCTCATCCTCACTCCCACTCTCTGCCCAGAAAGCCACTGCCCTGACGTCTGTGCTGATGATTCCAGCTTTTGTATTTTGCACCATGTTGTCTAGATTATAGTACTCCCAAGCAATATGTAGTGTAGTTTTTCTTATTTATAAATATGTTTCTGTATCATTGTGTAATTTTCTTTTTCACTCCATACATTTTTGAGATTTATCCGTGCTGATGTATATAAATATAGTTTATTCCTTTTAACTGCTATATACTATTCACTACATAAATATGTATTATCTGTTCTTTTCTCTATGAAAACTGAGGTTGTTTCTAGTTTTTTATTATTACAAATATTCTTCTATATATGTGCATATACACACACATATATAGGTTTTCTGGTACATATATGTAAGGATTTACTTAAGGTAAGTGGCTTAATACACATGTAAACCCATGCACATACACAAACTTAGACATACTGAAACCAAACTTTTGTAAAACAGCTGCTTACTATTTTTCTATTTTTATTATTTTCTATTCATTTTGTCTTTCTATTCCATTCTTGTCCATTTCTGTCCATTCTATACTATTCTAAAAAACAAATGTGGGTTCTGACTCACCACATTGATTTCCCATTTCACTAACTAGTCTAAACTCATAGTTTGAATGATATCACTTTAGGTTTTATACTTGGAAGACAGAATTCCTGGGTCAAACAGTGTATGAATCTTCACCTTTGGTAGTATCAGCTCTCCCAAACTATGCCCAGAAGAGAAAACAAAACCAAAAAACACTGTTGATCAAGCAAAGCTAAGTTTATTAGACCTATTGAAGAAATGAAGAACATTTTTGTGGCAGTCTTAATAATGCCTCAAAATGGAGAATTTAGAGCAGGATATTATACAGTTTTGGGACCTGGGCTGGGTGATTTTAAGGTAGATTTTGCATGGCAGGGGAATGGTTTGGACTGGGCAGAGATAATAACATAAGAGCTTTGAATTGGCGGGCATAGTGAGGCAAGGCTCGATGAATGAGTTATTTTTGTAGCTTTACCATCTCATCTTCCAGGAGCAAATATTTCCTGGAGCAAGTAAGTATAGTTGCACACCAAAGATGCAGAAAAGTGTGCCTGGTCTCAGACTTGCCTAATACAAGGACAGAAAAGTATGTTAGGTACAGTATTTTTTAAAACTAGAGACAAGGAATTATGTTAGATTTAGTTCCCATCAGACAATGCCAAATATTCCCCAAAACAGTTATGCCTATTTATAATCCCACCATAATTATCTACATTCTCACCAAAATTGAATATTGGCTGATTTTTAAAACCATTTTGTCATTCTTGAAGTTTACAATGATGTCTCATTTTATCTTGTATTTCCTTGATTGCTAGTGAGATTTTGCATCTTTCCATGTAACTATCAGTCATTTGAACTTCTTTAGTAAATAGCCTATTCATAGCTTCTGTTCATTTTTTAGTTTAATTTTTTCTTACTGTGTTATTCTTATGTATTCTGGGTAATATTTTCATGAGCATAAGCAATAAGCCCTTTCTCTGTGCTTTGTAATTTATCTTAATACTTGATGTCTTTTGTTAAATGATGTTTTTAAATTAAATGCAGGAAAATTAATCATTTTTATGGTTTGTGCTTTTGGTCTATTTAAGAAATTCTTACAGTATTTCCCTCTATTTTTGCTTAGATATTTAAAAATGTTTTATTTTTTATTCATCTCTTTAAATTGCCTAGATTTTTTCTGCTCAGTAATAAGTGCTTTCTTAACATAGCTGACTTAAGGCTCCTAAGTCTGAGTTCTAGGCAATGGAATATGACTGAAAGTAATGCATGTCTCTTCCAGACCCACACACAAAAATATTCTCACGCCCGATTCTCTATTCTCTTTTTCTTACTGGCTCAGTGAACCTGAACACAATGAAATTGGGAGTCACGTGTTGAAGATGAAGGAGACTCAAGATGAAAAAAGCCTGGGTTCCTGAATCACCATTGGAGGAAGGGCCACCACTGATTGGAAACACTCACTGTGGCTAGCCATGAGACCATACATTCATTCATTAATTTATTTCTCTCTCTGTTGTTTTGTGTGAAGAATGTAGCTGGATTTTAAAATGCAATCTGATAATTTTTGTTATAGTATCTGAGATTTATTCACTTTAATTTATTGGATTTTTGATATAATTACCCTTATTTATGCTATCATATTAGTCTTCGTTGCCTTTTTCATTTTCCTCTTTTGTCCCCATTTTTGTACTCTGTCAACTTAACTGCATTGCCTGTATTTCTACTTTTTGCCTTCTGCTGGTCAGGAGGCAATAGAACTTTCTAAAAAACATTTTAGTGATTACCTTTGAATATTTAAACATATTTGCTTCAATATAAATTTGTGTAACAAAACCTGCAACTAATCAGTCTTTGTCTCTTTCTACTAACTATGATAGAGATCTTCACACACTAAAACTACTCATTAAAGACTCAATGTCCCTGTACTCAGCCACCAGTAGTTATTGTATCGCATTTTAGCTTTTCTTTTCATATCACAAAAATTCATTTTAGAGAAATAGCCTATTGTTAGTTAGAATTACATATTTTATCAATTTCTGCCCTATTGTTTTTTGCATCATGTGGTTTCTTCTGGTATCACTTTTCTTCTGGTATAAGTTTATCTTTTAAATAGTACTTTGTCAAGGGCTATGGATGGTAAACTCTTACCTTTGTGCACATGAAAATGTTTTTACTTTATGCCATTATTTTGCCTTTCCCTTTACATGATAGTTGATTTATATATACAATTCTACATTGCCAGTTATTTTCCTTCTGCATTTCAAAGCTATTATCCTATTGTATTTTGTCATCCATCATTGCCAATAAAAACATCTGTATTATGTGTGAAGGGTATTCTTTTATAAGTAATCTGCCTTTTCCTCTCTGGTAACTTTTAAGGCTTTCTCTATACCATGTACAGTTTCACAAAAATGTACCTTGATATGGATTTATTTTTATCCATATTTGTACTTAGAGTGCACTTTTGAAATGAAGATTCCCATTTATTTAATTCTCTTTAATTCTGGATTTAGCTCTTATCTCTTCAGATATTACTTCCCACCCACTAATTTTATTATTTTTTCTCGAATACCTCTTAATCTACCCTCCTTGCCTCTTTATTGTTCACATTTTTCATATTTTCATTTCCTTATCTTCTTTCTTAGTGATGTACTCAGTCCTAACTAACATTATATACAGTCTAGAATTTAACAAGTCTACTAAATACTTTTAAATCAATGGCTACATGCTATTTCACCCCTAGATTTCTAATTAGATCTTCCCATATTCACCTCTTCTTCTAAAATTGCTGTCCTTTTGTTTCATAAACTTTTGCTCATTTTAAATAGAATACTTCTTTCATTTAATTCCCAGTGTACTCTGTACACTTATTTACAGTCTTTGTCAAACAGTTATATAAAATTAATTTCACCCAAAGTGAATTAATTAATTCACTGACAATTTTAGTTGCTGTTTTTCCCTAACATTAGGTTCCTTAATGTGTTTTGACATTTTGCCATTAATGCAATTTTGGAAAGAAATATTCGTTTATGACTTTTTACTTTCTATCTTCTGGTTAAACTCCAGACTAGATACAGAGAATATGCCAGTACTGAGCGTATCACTGTCCCTGTTCAGAGATTCTGCAGTTACCTCCACTCATGCCTTGTGCTTGCCACAATGGCAAGTGGGGGCTGTTGCGGGGATATCTCCATAGTGTGGATTATGATGATATCTCAGACCCAGCCACTAAGCACTGGGATTCAGTGTCCCACTAATCAGAGTCTGGATTGCTAAGCTCCACCAATGTCTTCCAGCAATGATGGGCCTGTAGCCTGCTAAAAACTGTGGACCCACGCTGGTCCCATATCTGCCTTACCTTCTTTGATGAGTCCAGGGTGGCTTCAAGCACCTTAGCTTCAGTGCTTCCCTGTCCCATAGGAGCTGAGTTCCTCTTACCACTGCTTGCTTCCAGATTCAGAGCTCAGCACCTCTGCGGCTACAGCCCTATTCATGGCTTTTATGTCTCAGTTTTGTTTCTGGTCCCCAGAGATCCTTTTCTTGTTTCTGAGTCCATCTATATTGTTTTCATTTCTATTTTCTATCCCATTGCTGTATGGTTAGAGTGGAGGGAAAGCATGAAGTTTTGAATTCACTGCAAAAAATAAAAAATAATAAAAAAAAATGGCCAGAAGTTTATAGCATTTGGTTTATGAAAAAATTCTAGCATTTAATTAATTTTTTAATCCACCTGTCTTCCTGCACACCCCTCACCTGTCTGAATATTGTTTTGAGGAAATTAAAAAGAAAAAAAACGAGAAAAGGGGAAACAAAAGTCAATAGGAACCAAATAGAGCAGTAAGTATAAAGCTGGCAGTAAAAGTGATCAGATAACTTGTATATTTAATATTTTTCTGTAGTACGTGGAGTTCTATTCATAGTTGCACTCCAGGCAACCCTATTATCTTGGGAGCCTGCCAACTGGGTCATCAACAGGATAATGTAATATTTACTGATTTACTGCTTTTCCTTAATTGCATGTCTCTGAAGGAACTAGAACACTGCATGGAAACATCACCGTTTATTCCTCAAACACATGGGACAGGTTAACTTTATTCCTTGTCCTGTCTAAGAACTCTCTGAGAAGGCCTCACACCCTCCAGCTGTGTGTCTCACGTCCTGCTTATTAGCTGGGGAAGTGTGTCCCCGGTGGCAGGGGCTGTGTCTGACGGGGACGTTCTCTGGACAGCTTTCTATGGCCTAGGCTGATGGTGAGACCCTGAGAAAAACTACATGCCTTTCGCTCAAATCATTTGTTACACACAAATAGGACAATACCCTGAATTTACTGTGTTGATCAGCCTCTGGCTACATCAAAGATCTTCACATAAGGCTCCTGCATAAATGTCCCGTTGTCATTCTCTCTTCCCTTTCACCATGTCCTCCCACCTCCATTGTTCAGACTTTGATTACCCGATTGTCTACTGAAGGCAGAGAAAACCATTATCTCTCCTATGAACTACTGCCAAGTCCCCACAAGCAGTCTGTCTCCTTAACCTCTTACCCTTGCCAATTCATCTTCTCAAGAGAAACTAGGATTTTTTTTTAGCAAAATGCTTAAACGCAATGTGATATATGCTGATGATTAAAAATGAAGCAGTACCCAAAGTTATGCAATGAAAAGCAATACTCCCTAGCTCCACTCCTCCACTCCTCAGAACCACTCTAGAGGAATGATTTCTATTTTTAGCACCTATATGAGTTATCACAATGATTCTAAATATAATGCTTTATAAAAATATAAAACTATCAACCGAGCGTTGTCGCTTTACTATTGACACTGTGGTCTCAGCTGATGAAGATTTAGCCACCTTCCTGTCCCCCTTTCTCTCATTTGATTTGCATCACTCAACTCACTTCTACCACTGACCTCCTCTCTGCTCTAACAGCATTCTTACATCCTCACGTCCTTGTCTGTTCACGATGGAACTTGTCCACCAGAACTCTCTGTAATAATGGAAGGTTCATGACTACTCTGTTCAATATGGTAGCCACCACCCACAGGTCAATATAAACACCTGAAATATGCCTAGTGAGATTTAGGTACAACAACATTTTAAATTGTTTTTAATTTTAATTAGTCTAAATTTGAATGGCCACACATGGCTAATAGTAACTGCTTTGGACAGTGCAGCTACAGACATCTCTTCATTAAGTATTGTTTTGCTCGATGAGGATATTAGCCCTCCACATCTCTCTTCACCTCTCCTCTCCCACCTGTCTCACAATCTCAGTCATCTGTACCTTAATACTAATACTTATATGGCCCAAATTGGAAATACTGGCATGCTGTTCATAAGCATAGTTAAATCTTCCATGGTTTATCTAAGGTTAATCCTAATCCTGAAAATTTTAAAATTATATTTATACTATTATAATTTAGGCTCTTTCATAGCTTTCTTTGCAATTTTTAAATTTGTTGTTGATTTCTTAGTTTACTGTCTCTCACTGAACTATAAGCCTGATGAAGATGAGCATCTTGCCCACCTTGTTCAATATTATATTAATACTTTCAGATCCTGACAGAGTGACTGTCACAAAAATAGATGTTTCATAAATTATCATGTTTTCTTTATTGTTTTCCAAACATTTTAGTATATCCTAATAAAAAGACATTTTAGTATACCCTAATAAAAAGACATTTTAGTATACACTAATAAAAAATCTCAGCATGAATTGTTGTTAATAGAAAATATTTTCATTGTCATTTGGGACTACTATTATTCCACAAAATGTCTTAATTTTTTCCTCTCCATACTTAATCTATGATGGAATTTTAAAATGTTCTGACATAGAAATTCCTTTACTAGTAATACACAATAATGAAATAATCTAGGGAATCTAAAAAATTATTTTCTATTTTTGTGTAGTACATAATGTGATTTTAAGTAAACATTTTATTTTTATCAGTAAAACAATAATCATTGTATTATAATTATTGTATTATAATATTATGATGTAAATCATTATAAAGCTCATTTAATAACTGCTTAGGGATAGATATAATATGTAAAAATGACTTTTTAATCAACAAGTAAGGCATAGTCATTGAATCATTTTTGTAAGATAAAATTATTTGATAGTATATGTTTTTTAAAATAACATATAATAGTTTATTTGAATTCAGATTGAATGTAAGCTTAAATATTTATTGAAATTTAACAATGTGTTAAAGTGTCAAAAACATGAGAAAATGCTTTCATGTTTCTAGTTAGGCTTGTTAGCCTTTTATACTTTGAAAATCAATTGATTTATATATGTGCATGTGTACGTGTATATGCATATGTGTGTCTGTGTTTATGTATACACATACTCATACAATTCTTTCAAGTGTTAAAATAAGAGAACTTTCAGGATGGCATTTGTAGGTAATTTTTTGTAACTAATGAGTGTAGGAATGGACAGTCTTTATTATCAATAAATAAAAATTTGTTATTATCACATCACAATTTTTTCTATTTAGCATTTGATTTTGAAATTTCAGATATGCTATATAGGATTTTTTATTAGAGAACTGAAACTACAGATGTGGTAAACAGCAAGTGTAGATTTTCATAATTATCTTTTTTCCCCATTACATTTATTAACTATATTTGAACATCAAAATTCCATATGCTTCCTGTATTAACTAATGCTTTGTGACTAATAATCATAATTTTTAAAGCCATCAAGGGCTAGCATTCTGAGAAGAGTGATGAAGAATTTGGGCTGTGACTGAGTTATAAGTTCTTTCCTTATCACCATTACTCATGTCCCGTACTCAACACACAATCAGGCCTCCTAAGCTATAATATTTTAGAAATGCTAAAATAATTATTTTATTTATAGACACAAAAACTGAAAACAGTTTCTGATTTTGATTTATTAAAAATGTAAATATCCTGAAATACCTTTTCAAATTGTTGGATTTTTTTTTTTTTAATTTCAGAGTATTACTGGGGTACAAATGTTTTGGTTACATGAATTGCTTTTGTGCCATTTGAGTCAAAGTTATAAGCGTGCCCATCACCAAGATAGCATGCATTGTACCTGTTAGGTGTGAATTTACCTGTCCCTTTCCCCCCCACACACCTGCTTGGTTTCTGCTGAGTTTTACTGTGAACTAATACCCTGTGTAACAACCTGTTGGAAATTTCTGAATCATAAATGGGAACTACCATGGCATAGTATTCTGGGATTAATTTAAAAACTAACTCCTTTATTCATTAACTGCAAATGACACTATAAAGGAGACAATTCTATAAAATGAGATGGATCTTAGGATCTCAGTTAGCATTAACAGCTAAATCATCCACCTTTAGGGACTGGGACCATTTTGATCCAGAGTCACAATAATTCATTCATTCCTGATCCTTATCTCTATGGATGCATATATTCTGGAATTTATCTGTCAAATGGCCATTGGCCCCAGATATAAAATTTTAAACATTATTAGCTGTGTTTAGACTGCTGGTTTGCACTAAGCAGATAACTCAGATGCTCACGGTTATGCTAACATGCCTCCCATATATTTAGACAAACATTGCATTCTCATATAGACTTGGCTGCCATCAACTGAAAGCACAGCAGCAAGTTCAACTGCAGATTTATTTGAGCAGCAAGTAGAACATCCCACCCTCTTCTCTTGGGTCCCTCTTGTCTCAGGCCCTTGTCCTGCTCATGTAACCGCACTGCACAATACTCTGATCATTTCTGCCCAGCACAGACAGGGCCCACCTTTGGACTTCTTGCTTTTCTTTTCACATTTATCTAAATTTAATCACCCTGAGTAACTTATCCCATTGGTCCCTGTGTGTTCACAACCGGCAGTGCTGTGACAAGCCAAATTTTGCTGGGATGACAATGGATAATAACATGTGATTGTGCTGCTGTTCCTAAGGCACTGCATCTCTGTGACAGAACTTTGTCCAGATTTGTGACACAATTTTGAAAGATTATGGTGTCCTTCCTCGTTTGGACCACACTAGCACAAAAACATTCTATTCTGCCCCATGATTAGGGCCAGTTCATCCAGCCCACAAGCTCCTACAGTAGAAATGGCAAATACATCTTCTCTAACATATCAGCTCCAACTTTCTGTGGCTGCAGCTGAGCATTCAGATCTTATGTTTATGCTCATTAGGAAAAGCACTGTTAGTAGTATCTGGGTGTGGGAGGAGAGCACTCACTTGCCAAAATTTGAAATCCCTGTTTTAAGTTATGTAGCTAAATATGTTTCATAATTTTGTTCATATAATATAGTCAACATCTGCTAACGCCATGTTATATAATCTTGCCTTTGAAACTAACATGTAAGGAGTCTCTCTAGGAATTTAATAGCTAAATTCCTTTGTGTTTGGTCTATGATGGGCTTTTCTACTCTATTTGTAGTGAACAACATCAACGCAATTTTTTTTTGAAGGGAAGAGTGGGATGAAGAGGACAAGTGACACTATTAATGATGATTTTGCCAGATAAACTCCATCTGGATTAAAACATCATGAAGAAGTTTGGAACACCATCAAGTCAAAGCTATTTTTAAGGTCCAGCCCAGACATGGGCAATAGCCGTGCAATTCATGTTTGCTCACACACCTTGGTCCCCATTGCCCTTAACCCACCTATTGAGGCACGGATGTGCGGAGAGGATATCTTGATTCCAATAATTGCCCAGGATTAATCCTACTGATTTGATTTACTGTGGGGATTTTTAATTGGTAGTGGCAAGATATCTGGTATAGAAAGATTCTCTCAATCTTAATGTTTACCTAAGTGGCAAGAATTTGTCAATTTTCTGTCTCTACCAAAACATAACTATTCAGCTCCTTCATTTTTTGTTCATTCCAATATGTGTTGCAACCCGAATCCTAATATAATACTTAGCTAAAGAATATAGCCAACTTTAAAGTCTTCATTTTATAACTTGGGATTGGATCTGCATATTTATTTATGTACTGTGGGATTTGTCTTTTATGAAGTACTAGTTCAGAGACCAGTTCATCTTTGATTGTATAAAGGCAGTTATAGGTTCAGCATTACTTCAATGCTTCTGGGAAATAGCTCCCAAATTTTGGCTTAATCAATGAGAGATATACAGCTGTAATAACTGGAAGGCAAACCACTAAGCAACTAACTTTAAAAGGACAATCTAGGTACCAGAAATCTAGATTTCTCAGAAGAAGTAATTTGGGAATATGAGCACTATGGCCCCAACCCAACAACCACACAACTCTTTTGACTCTTTTGTGTTGTTGACCCCCTAGGCCAAAGTCTGATTATGGGCTGTTTTAGCAGCATGTTAGGACAATTGTGCAATGCGCATATTTTGTGCTAGACAGAAAGAGGGAGAATCTAAATGTGTCCTAGGGGAGAAAATGTTAAAGGATAAGCTTCAACTCTGCTTCCTGTCTCTCTTTCTCAAACACATTTCTCCCCCTACTCCCTGCCTCTCTCTCAATAACCCTATCTTCTCTTTGGTAGATCTGAGAAATTCTCTGAGAACTTCACCATGGTTTCTGATGAGGGTGAAAGGATCTTATAGGTCTGTGAAAGCCATAAGATATAGTTTTTGACCATTGAAGTGGGTTAAATATTGTCCCCCCAAAATTCATGTCCACCCAGAAACTTATACTATGACCTTATTTGGATATAGGATCTTTGTCGAATTAATTAAGGATGGAAATGAGATCATAGTGGAATTAAGGTGGACCCTAACACCAATGACAGATGTCTTTGTAAAAAAGAGGAATGGACATAGAGACTCACACGGATAAGAAGATCATGTGAACACAGAGTCAAAGACTGCAGAGATAACAGCTGTAGGAAATAGCAAGGATTGCTGGGGGCCAAAAAATATAGGAAAAAGCAAAGAAGAATTTTTTACTAGAGCCTGCAGAGGGAGGATGGCCCTGTTCATATCTTGATTTTGGACTTCAGCTTCCAGAGTTCTTAAAAAATTTAAGTTTCTGTTGTTTTAAATTTGTCGTGACTTCTTATGGCAGCGCTGGGAAACTAACACCATCACCTCATTGGAGTCTTCCTCTTTTGGATTTCTGGACCCTGCTCTCCTCCACCACCACTCAATCCAGCCACCCTTAATTTTCTCCTGCCATTCTTTGTCCTCTTTCCACAGCTTAAATTATGGCACTCCCCAGAATTCTGTCCTGGGCCATTTTCTCACTTTCCATTTCCTGGGCAATCTTATCCAATTTCATGGTTTTTATCTCCATGTCTCAGCTAATAACTCACAAACATAAAGCTCCAACCAGACCTCTCCCTTGAGAGTGATTTTTATGCCCTATTAGATATCAAAAATGTGTGTTGAAAATACATGTTCAAAACTGAACTCATCTTGTAAACCTCTTCCCATGCTTTTTACTACTCCTTCACCTCTCCTTCTACTCCTCACCCTTTATTCCCTATTTATTCTCATGCATCATTTTCGGTCCAATTACAAATTACATAAGTCAGAAATCTGAGTCATCCAAGAACTCCTATACCTCTTTACCTCTTATGGCCAATGTTTTAGCAAGCACTGTTTATTTTATTATTTTAACTTCCCCTGAATTGACTATTTTCCTAGATCAGGTCCTTACCAATTTGGTCTTATCTGCTTAGGGTAGTTCTCTATCAATCTAACTGCTCTCCAAACCATCCCATAATGCTGTAGTTATCATAATATTTCTAAAATCCAACTGTGATAGCATCATTTCCCTGCTCAGAATCCTACAGAGATTCTCAATTGCCAAAAGATTCAAGCTCCTTAGGCTCCTTGGCCGTGTTCACGTCCCATTGTTTCCCCAATCTCCTAACCGGACTTCAGCCACACTGAACAACCTGCCATTCTCTGAATGTGTACTAGACTTTCAAACATGCCTAGACCTCTGTCCATTCTGTTCTGCCTTTTGAAATGCCCTTTCTCTTTCCAGTATTTATTTGGGTCACTCTTTAAGACTCTTGATGTCTCCCAGCAGGCTCCTTTTAGCCCCCAGTCAGTCACCACAGCTCCCTAAAGAAGCATTCACTTCCCTTCCTTGCTGTTGGTTGCTTTCACATAGAAGTCTCACCAGACTATAAGGTCCACCCTACACAGACAATGATCAATTTATAGTCAATGAATATTTTAGACATAATGAGAAATAAAGCACATATATTAAGAGATTCTACAAATACATAGTAGATTTTGCATCAATGAATTTTTTTAAATGTAGTAAGTTTAAATGAAGCAGCAATCATCAAAGGTTGCTGTTATTGGGATAAAGACTGGGAGGAGGTGAGACTTGAGGAGGGTCTTGAAGAAATGGTTGGACTTAAATAATTAGCCTGTGATATTCTGGAAAAAGTAAACAGCATGAATGAATTTGGCATCAGAATCCCATAAGTTGATGCATTTCAACAGCAATTGGCACGTAGTTTCTTTACCTTGACACTGGTGACTTTGACTGAAGTGACACGCTGGCAAGGCCTAATGCAGTTGCTCAGTCCATGAATGGAAGTGTTGTTCCTAGAGTACTTCGGTTGCAGAAGACATCTGAAAAAGGTAAACAAGCAAAGAAAAAAAAAGATCTTCCTAGTGACTTGGACAACGTTCAGAAAAGCCAGAATCTTAGCTCATGGTTTCAAATGAAACACGGAGGTGTAGGGGACATCCAGGTTACTCCTTAGCATGTTGAATTGCTTCCTCCATGAACCATGGAAAATGAAAACCAATTAGTATCACTTGAGAAAGAGACTTGGGAATTTCCTCTTGTGGTTTAACTCAGGTCCAAAATAGCACTGCTGAAAGTTTGAGCATCTAATTTCATACTTTATTTTCTACATTAAGTCTTAAATAGAGCAAAATTTCAGGTTTTTTTTTTTTTGACAAAACTGACAAAATGTCCAGTTGCTGGCTATTGCTTCTTCTGTAAAAAAGCGGCATTTGGGAGCAAACATGTCAAAAGTGCTCTTTGGGAGGGCCTGTTATAAGCCCTTGAAAGATGGGCATTGTGAAAAATATGAAATTTTCTTAAATTCCTCCCAAGGAACCGTATAATTTAATCATACTTAGTCTTACCTAACACAGAGTCCTTTTGCCTGAATAAAGTTTCAGCAAGTTTCTAAGGATTTAAGATATGAACACAGAAAAAAAAAGTAGTTATCATAGAATTTCCATTTTATACATGGTAGAAGCAAATGACTACATGTTGACTTACAAATAGAAGTTGGTAGGATTGAAATAAGTTGATTTACCCAACAAATACACTTTATAAGGATTTCTATGAATAGGCCAAAAAATAACACATGGACATAGCTTTCAACAATATAAATAAGAGTTATGGAGTAAAGCCAAAATGCTTTTTCTTTATTTCCCTTTCAGTCTTTTTTCTTCTTGGAAAATAGCTGGGCCTTCTATAACATTTTTTAAGACAACATGCAAATTATCTATATAAGAATTAAGTCAGTAGTTCACATACTTGTTATAAATATTAGAATCTGTAAGAATTTAGTCTGGTCCATTAGCCAACTTTGTCAGTCATCTTCAACTTTGATTTTTAATAAGCACCAACTGCAAATCAATCCATTTGGCCTTGAAGGAAACATCTAGTTGTCTTTGGTCTGGTGGAATTTTGGGAGAAATATTTGATATGATCCAAGGAAATGAGTAAAGGTAGAGTTCATTTCAGCCACCCTGATATAAATTATTCCTTACCAACAACTTTGCCCCTGGTGAAAGAATCTGTTATAAGTTAAGTTCAACACTTTTACTTTTTACTTCCTTTTTTTTTTTTTTTTGGAGACACGGTCTTGCTCTGTTGCCCAGGCTAGATTGCAGTGGTGACATCATAGCTCACTGTGACCTCAAACTCCTGAGCTCAAAAGATCCTCCTGCCTCAGCTTCCCGAGTAGCTGGGACACAGGTGAACATCACTACACCTGGCTGATTTTTCTATTTTTTGTAGAGATAGGGTCTCATTCTTGCTTAGGCTGATCTCAAACTCCTGGCCTCAAGCTATTCTCCTGCCTCAGCCTCCCAGAGTGCTAGGATTACAGGCATAAGCCACCATGCCTGACAATACCTCTACTTCTATAAGTGATTATTATTTCATGGTTTCTCCCTGTATGTCAATAACACATCTCATCACTCTTCAGGGATGCTCAGGTACCACCTCCTCCTTGCAACCTCTCATCTACTATTATTGCAGCCTCTGCTCATCCTTCCATACTGCTAATTAGCTGCATCACACACTTTAGTCTAATCCAGGATGCCCAGTTGTCTAAACACCTATGTTGATCCACTGCTTCTGTTATTACTCCAATTTTACCAAGAAAATGATCTTAAATATCTCTCAACCTTTTTAAGTCAGAAAACCAAAGGCTGAGGAAGCATTAGGACTTCTAGTGGTCATACTCTTAAGTCTCTTGTGGAGAAGAGATTTTGAAATTTTCCATCAGTTTTACAAAATTATCAAGTTGTTCAAATCACCATGATCTAAGAAAAGCCAAAACAGAACTCATAATAAGATGACATTTATGCTGAACTAGAGTCTTTTGTTTTCATGCAGAAAATTCCTTTTCTATTGAATCATGTGAGGGAAAGGTCACTAGACAGCAAAGCCCAGGTTGTTGCCAATACCTTGAGTTCTGATTTTTCTTTTCTTTTGAGGCTTGTTTGTCACATTTATCTAATTTTGGCTATTCTTATATTCTGAGGAGTTCTGATGTTTGTAACCACTGGGAGTGGGTGGAGGAGACTGCCTATTAGTAAAGTCATCAGTCATGACTGATCACGCTACAAATACTTGGTGGTTGTTATTGTTTTTGTCAAAAGTCTGAACGCATTGCATGGTGCAAAGAAATAGGAATTTAGAAGAGGGAGCATGAAAAATTAACTTTTTAACTCAATACATTATGAATATGTAAAGCTTTAGTTTCTGTTTTTTCTTTGGAAACATAAGAGACATTCAATAAATGTTTGCTAAGCTGATTTATACAATTACCTAGAGGCCAGTAAGTATCTCCTATGATCATAATTCCTCATTGGTTTACAATATCATAAAAAGATGTGTATTCATTGGGCAAATGCAAATGGTAGCGGGTGAAGACATAAAGCAGAGCTCCAGCCATGTGAACATTTGTCCTTTTTGGCATAAATGGACACATAGAGTTCTCATAAACTTGTAAGCTCTCGGAGGAGGGCAGGTAACAAACAAAAAATACCCTATATATTTTTACTTTGGGGAGCTTTTCGTAGTGGGAAAGAAAAATTAGAGGAAGACTTGAAGAACAAGAATTTATTGTATTATCACCTAATATAAATGAAACCATTTTTGGTGGAAGAAGATAACAAAAGTGTTACTTGCTTTATTCATAACATGATCACACCCTGGAAGAGATAGAATAATATTTGGAAATTTTATCTGTAGAGAAAATTTCGACCCACTCAGAACAAAAGATTCCAGTGTAGGACAAGTTTATGCTCTGTCAGGAAATGAAGCCAATATATGGGATGCTGGGTGAGTTAAGGTGGAAAAATAAACTGGTTTAGTTCTTATCCCTTTAAATACTGAAGTGCTATTCTGATGCAGTTTATTTTCTTTTCCTTTTGGGTGGAAAGGTTTGACTAATGTAGATATGGATGTACACATAAATATATATATATATGTATATATATATAATGTATAAATATGAGACAAGGGTTTTTCCAGGATCTAGTCAAGTGCTGTGATGGGAGTAAAGCTATACATACCAGGAGGAAACCCCACGAGAGATCCTAGGGAAATAACCCAAAAGGAGAACAGAGAAGCAGGGGGATGCTCAAGGTGACCCCACCCCTGGTAGTTTCCTAGGGGAACATGAGGGACCTAAGGACAAGGTCAAAATGAGCAGGAAAAAAAGAGAACCCATGACATTGCTGACCACTTTGATCCCAGATCCTGGGAAGTTGGCAGGTCTTCACCATTCCCATTTTATAAATGGAAAGGCATGAATACTTCCATGACTGTGGTTTCCCAACATTTCTCCTTTCTGAAGAAGGAGCCAGACCTGCCAGGAAGTTATTGAGCTGGGCCCATGACCTATTAGAATGCGATCTTTTTTTAGAGGCCTTTAAAAGGTGACAGAGAAATCAAGGTCACCAAAAACTCAGATCACAGATGCCGTAAGTGGAATGACTCTCCTGATCTCATGAACGGCAGAGCCCATAAAGCGGGCAAGCCAAGAGGCCGGCCTCCAGGTGTGACCTGATTTCCCAAGATCATCGGGGAGTAAGTGAGGAAAGAGTTTAGTCTGGATTTGGAGCCTCTGAGACTAGAACTACAAATTTGTCTAGATCCTTGAGAGACTTTAGGGGTTGACATGCTACAAAATGTAACTTCCTGTCTCTGCAGGAAAGAAACGCTTTTCACAGGGCTAATAAACTGAGCTCCTAATGGGGCGTCTCAGACATCAAATAGGCAAAGTGAAAACACGCTATGATGAGGTAAGTGTAAGGGGATCAGAAACATCCCCCCAGCACACACACTCAGAAAAGGTTTCCTTTCAAAGCCATGTGGGCTGCAAATTTAAGGGCAAACCATACTTTGCCAAAGCCACACTATCTGGAACAAGACTTTGAAGATACGAAATGATTAAGGAGTGCCTCATTAGGAACTCGCCATGAATACTTCTGTGACTGTGGTCACGGAAGCCACTCAGCCTTTGTGCCTTCCCCTAGTGCTTCCCAGACATGTTGGTGAGTTTTAACAAACTCCACCACAAAACCCCACTTTCTCAATTTTTTTGAAAAGCTCATCTAAGACACATCTCTAATAAGAGAGTGATAATGAACACATTTTTAACTTTTAAAATTTCGTGGATTCACATGCCCCCTCATGACTTTTCCACTAATAATGTAGACACAGACCATTGCACCTTCAAAAGTCAAAGTTTAAAGTTAGGACTTAGTGGTTTAATATAGTTGAAGACGTTGTCTCAATATCAGGAAGCATTTCTAACAGTCAGAGCTGTTTTTAGGGGAGTGAAGACCAAGTTATGTCAGAAGTTAATGAGTGTTCCAGACCTGGAACTGAGGCTGAGCAACAACCTAAAAGGAATAGCATAGGTCCCATGTTATATTATAATATATAATGTTATAATAATTATATTCAAATAAATTGGCAGTCGCATTTGATGACCTCCACAATTCCTTCCTACACTGAGATTATATTATAAATAAATGAAGGTAAAGCAGACCATTTTTAATGGTTGACAACAAGAGTTTCACTCCTCAGGAAGGGATTTAGATATTATTGGGGTCTTTGAACAACAGCCTTCATGGGAATCAGTTTCTGTCTATGCAGTCCTACCACTTGGTCCAGTGCTATAAAAAAATAGATTATGCTCTGTTCCAAGTAAATAATCCCCCTTGAGAAGATCCAAAATTCCCTTTTATAGCTTCAATTTGTTTGCAACTTGAAGGCTTTCTACCTCTGTAGTCTTTTAAATGCCCTTAGAGGCATTAGAGATGTCTCCTTTAGCCATTCCTAGGTAAGGTAGCAGCCAGAAGACATTTGGGTAAACCTGTGGAGCAAGGATTCTCAACCTCAGCACTGTGGGCATTTTGCTGTGCATTGTAGGATGTTTAGCAGTATCCATAGCCTCTACCTACTAGATGCTAATAATATTTCACTCAGTCATGGAAACCAAAAGCGTCTCCAGACATTGCCAAATGTCCCCTGTGGGCAAAAATGCCCCCAGTTTTGAGAACCACTGCTGCTGTACAGGGTTAGACTAAGGATAAGGGGGTGGGGGAGGCTAGAAAGGTGGCAGAAGAGGACCTGAGATCTCAGAGGTGAGGACACCGAAGGGAGGTATGACCAATTTCATGCTATTTTCATGGTGTTAGACCTGCTTACAAAGAGTATTTTTTTCCACCATTCTTGCTTTCTACGTCTTCCTGTACCAAGAACAAGAAGTCCTTTTAGATATCTCAGCAGCTCCTTAGTAAACAGTAATGTATCTATATATTGATATATTATATGGAGCTATAGCAAGGAAGTGGCTTCCCCGCTGAGGTAACTGGCAAGGTCTACAGGGCAGGCTGTCCACAGGGCAGCTGGAAGTCTTGAGTAGGGGCCGAAGTTGCAGTCCACAGGCAGGGTTTCCTTCTCAGGGAAGCCTTGGCTCTGTGCATAAGGCCTGCTGTCTGATGGGATCAGGCTCACTGCAGTCTCTGGAATTGTCTCATTTACTTCTCTCTGGAATGATCATTGATGCCAATCACACCTACAAAATGCCTTTGCAGTCATGCCTTAGTGTTTGATTGAATAAGTGGGGTGTCATAGTTCATTCAGGCTGCTGTAACCAAATACTATGAACTGAGTGGTTTATAAACAACAGATATTTATTTCTCACAGTGCTGGAAGCTGTAGAGCTCAAGATCAGGCCCTGGCAGACCTGGTGTCTGGTGAGGGCCTGCTTCCTGGATGGCCGTCTTTGCAATGCAACCTCACATGATGGAGGGGATGTCTCTGGGGCTTCTTTTATAAGGGCCCTAATCCTACTCAAAGCCCTCATTACCTAATCACTTTCCAAAGGTCCCAACCCCACTGCCATCACCTTAGGGGATGAGGATTTCAACATATGCACATTCAGATCACAGCTGGGGGCTATAGCCTAGCCAAGTTGACACGTGAAACCAACTGTCTCAGCACCCTAGAAGCTATTCCTCAGTCTCCAGTGTCTTATCCAGGCCAACATTCTTCTGTTCCTCT